GGTACTTCTTTACGATAGTCGATTTAAAAAAATTTCAGAAAAATTTCAAGTTCGATGGCATGGGCCATATCAAGTTATTGAAGGATTTTTAAATGGTTCAGTACAATTAGAAGATTTTATGGATACTAAATTTATGACACGAATCAATGGTAATTGACTTAAACTTTACTATACATAAACCCATGATGGATTTTCTATTACAAAAGGGGGAGTCGACCCAATTGATTGGACCATAGTAAGAAGTAGGAGGGGGGCTCTTGACAAGCATTGTGTTTTCTTTTGTGGTTAAGGGGAAGATAGTGAACATGATATCTGAGATAGTAAGAATGGCGATCGATTGAAAAGAACCGCAAGAACAGCTGTAAGTAGAAGTTGCGATGTTTCAGACTCAACTAATAGCATTAGTAGAAGAGGTCAATAATTTAGTACGGACCAATACGCCAGTTTCAGTAATAATACCTTTGGAGATACCTTTGAAATTGACAGAAGAATGGCAAAAGATGTTGGAGGAGCGTGACAACCAAATTGACCAACATGAGTCTCAGGTATGGGAATTGGATATATTAAATGAAGATTTGATGGTGCGTTTGGATGGAGAACCATCAAACACCAAGGCAGACAATGAAGATGTAACGAGGAGAAGGTCACCAATTCAAAGGGTGGTAAGCCAACGCCATTGACTGAAGAAGCCAACGCTGCTATGTCTTTATAAGTTGAGGCTAAATAATGTTTGTGAGGATGCTATACAATTAGGAGTGAGGCTATATAAAATAGGTAAATAAACTTTGTGGTAAGTTACTGGTTGATTATTGACAACCTTGAGAATTAGACTGATGGTTAGGCAGTTTAGCTGGTAACAATAGGTTGTTAGTAGAATAAATGGTTAAGAATTCAAAGGGTCATAACCTTTGGAATCTGCTAGCCAATGGATCATCTTTTTGGTAGGATAAATAGACTTAGAGTCATAAGCCGAGAGCCAAACTGAGAGTCATAGGCCGAGTAAGCTTAGTGCTATTTCTTTAATTTTTTTATTATTTTCTTATGAAGAATGGTGTTTGAGAGAAGTATTGTTGAATTGATAATTGTAGAATGGATTATGAGTTAAATTAAGATGGAAGTAGTAAGCCTCGGTGTTTTGTAGTTTGATATATGATTTCAGATAGCCAAAATATAGTCAATTGTGATACTAACAGATCCAATTCATATAACCAATTTTTTCCCGTATTCGAACCCACTTCTATTTGTTCAATTGCTTTGGTCTACTGAAGCTTGAACGCAACAAGAACAATACTTATCAACCACAACTATATTGAGCTTAGAGAGTTTGTCCTAGAATCAAAAAGAAGTAATTAAAATTTGACATCGCATATTTGATTTCATTTGTAAATTTACAATACATGCAACGATCTCAGTTGCAAATAATATTATGTCCTTCTACACACAAAATAAAAATGAATTTTTCTTCTCAGTAATTCTATTCTGCAATTGCAGTGAATAGGAGCCCATCGAGCAAAACACTTCAAAAAAAAGATTTTTGTAACACCATAGCTCTTTCCAAAACATCCCATAGTTCTTATGCTTACTAGCTTTCAAACTTCTTGTACAACCCTTCTTGCTTCCCTTGCAATGCAGGTGCCACATTGCAATCATTTTGGCTTCAACCATCTCCATGCTAATTGATTGAGGATATAATAATGTGAAGCAAAGTGAAATATAGCAAAAGAATTGTTGAAGGTTGTGATTAATTGCTTCAATCACCCAGAATTGTAGCTTGTGCTTGTCTAACAAAATTAGAGTTGAAAGTCATTCAACTCTTCACCTAAATCATTTTCTGTATATGTCTTGTTTTGTCAACCTAGTTCATTACAACTAGTAAGCTATTGGACACAACCTTGGAATTGTAGAATATATTTAAGTTCGGATGTATTAAATCTTGGATTGCATGTTGATGATACAAATGCTCCTCAAGCATGTTGTTTGGTTTTGACATTTGACCACCTCATCATCATTTGCCTCTAGTTGCAGGCTATGGATACGAATTATAACATGCTCAAGAAGTTCACTTTGGACTCCGAGTGTATTGACATGGATAGTGTATCGGCAATTGGCCGAGGTTGCGCACAATTGTAAATGCTTTGACTACAATGTGTGAATGTGTCCAACAAAGATTTGAAAGTAGTTGGCTATACTTGTTCTTTATTGGAGACCTTAGTTTTATATAGCTTTTAGAAATTTATAGATAAGCAAGTTTCATATTCATACAATTCATTATAGAGTTAAGACAATGAATCAACCATTTTTTTTCAATAATTTATATAATTTTCCTTTCATGAGCTGTACATTGATGCTTTTTTCTATGCCTTGTTTTTCTCTAGACAATAATATTGTAAATAGAAGTTTGTTCATTCATAATTATGAATCTCTCAATTTATAAAAATTACAAACTATAACAAAAAAAAATTTTGTGAACATATCACTTCTATCTAAGAACCTAAATTAAAAAAAAAAAAAAAAAAAAAAAAAAAAAAAAAAAAAAAAATTATTGATTCACACATTTTTGATCTACAGAAGTTTGGTGGCTATTGGAAGAAGATGCAAAAAGTTAAGAAAAGTCACATTGAGTGACTCTTACTATGTAGGTGACTATAGCATAGTTGCCATTGTTGGGAATGTCTCCAACTTCAAGCACTAGAAATAAACCACTGTCATACCATTAGAAGTGCAGGGCTTTAAGCTATGGGCCATTCTTGTTGGTAGGAAAAACTTCTATTATGGCATAATAAAATGTCAATTTTCTTCAATTCTTCATGTCGTACGTTGAGATTCAGACTTACATCAATTTAAAATAAAGCAATGATTATTAATTGTTGATACTTTCAAGAGATGTTTTGCAGTTGATGAAGGGTCTTTCTTGCTTGTTGGTCATATTTTTTAGTTTTGTAGACACTTTGGTTTGTTAATTTTTTTTTGAGATTTTCCTTTAAAACTTGATATACTTTGTTGCAGAAAATTCCAAGAGCTCGTGCTGAACTATGGTCAAGTAACAAGCAATGAAGGACTTGTGGAAGTTGAAAAAAGTTGGAGTCAACTCTAGGCCCTGCATTTAATTGATTGTTCATCAATTTTGTAATTTGTAGTATCTTAGTCTCTATTTTTGTGACATGTATCTTTTAATCTGTTGTGGATATTTGTGATTTTAATTGACTTGGTGAATGTGTTTGTTTGTAAAGCTTCATTCCATCACAGAAGAATTCATGTTCAAATAGTTTACTTGACTCATTTATTTCACTGGATGCTGACTTAGCAAAATAGAGGACGATGTGTTGATTACAATAGGTCAAGGATGTCACCAACTATAGCTGCTAAATGTGAATAGATGCCATCGAGTGGATGATGTGGGATTAACCAATATTGTTGAAGGATGCCTTCTGCTCATGCACCTTGACGTCAATGTTTGTTAGGTATGTCTACTATTGGACTTGAATATATGACGGCTTGATAATATTTCTTGAATTTCCATCAACTTCATTGCCGTAATATAATATATATGAACAATATTTGACGTTATTATCATTTTCATGATTTTCTAAAATACATTGCAACCCTTGAAATAGTGCCTCCTATGGTACAAAATGTGGGAGATACAGGCCTTGCAGCTTTGGGAACGGATTGCCTTGTCTTTAATGAGGTCTTCTTTTATACTACCAAAAAATAAGTGATGTAGGTTTAAGGCAATTGGTGTCAAATTGTCAAACTATAGAATTATGTCATATGGTGTACTGTCCATGTGTAACCTCAGTTAACATGGCAATAGTATCTGGCGGCTGTAATTCACTGAAAAAAGTTGTGGTTGAGAAGTGGAAAATTATTGATGGCATCCAAAGAAGACATGTCACTATCTTAATAGAGCTTTGCATAGATCTATGACTAATTTTCTATTTCTTTTAATAGTAGGAACTACTGCTTTTAGATCAAAAGTAGGATTTACTACTACAAAAAAAACTTCATTAATGTAGGAGAGATGGTAAGTTTTATCAAGCTTAAGTACAACATTTTTTTACAAAATGAACGTATTCTTCAATTTTGATATATCTAATGTAAAAAAATTTAACAAAGATTCTACTTAGTGAGAAATTCTTCTTGTTAAATGAGCAAAAAATTGGACACTTGACTCAATCACACAGGTACTCTCATTGATGCACATACTGGCCTATTCTAGTGTGGCTAGTAACCCAATTTGTATTTTGGAAGATACAAATAATGTCACTTCTTTTTTTAGTTCGCCCTGTAAATAAAAAGTGGCTATTACCATAAAAAAAAAATGGTAAAAGAAATAAAAATTTGATCATACTAAGATTGCATTTTGCATCTGCATGACGTGATTCATTGGACAAACTTTGAATCACCAGAACGCTTGATGTTGTTCATTTCTTTTTTTCAACTTATTATAGTGTAGCATGACATCCTAAGTGTTGTTTGACGCAATATCAAAGTGGAAACATATATATTCATATTTACAGCAGAGAATAATGATGGCAAAATAACGTATTTACACTATGCAAATAGTTAAGCCTTGGCAATGAAAATAGTGTTCCAAGTCAACATCCAACAATATTATATCAAGTCTCTCGATATTAAAACAATATTATATCGTTTGAGATGAGGCAATCCAAGGTACTACTTTGTTTGTTTTTTGAGTTTTTCTGTCTTTGTTTCTTCTTATGCTGTTTTCCGCTTCCTCTGTGACCAGCTTCTATCACTTGCAGTTGGTCATCCAAGCCAATTGAATCCTCTGTTGTTTTTTTTTTATCTTACTCCTAATACCAATGTTGAGTAGATGTTATAAGCCCTGTCTGTGAGTGCGTGTGTGTAGTGCTCAATGCAGTTGGGTACACCATTGTTTGTTAGTAGGCTCATTATCGTCCATTGGATGATACAACCCATCAGTGTTCTTTTCATCCTAGTCGTCCAGGGTTTCAAGCGCACCGCAGATCCTCAACTCCCATCGACCCCTTGATCACTTCCCTTCGTCCTCTCGCTGCGAAATCTTGTCCTGTGCCCTCCCATCGCTTCAAATTGCTCAAATCTGTGCTTATATATATGACGCATGCAAACAACATGATATCTCTGTGCCGCACGCAAACAAGGTGATACTTCTGTGTCGCACGCAAACAACGTTAGAGCGAGGAGCCGCGGATGGTAGGTAATCCTGTGGTTTCTTTTTTTTTTTTGATTCCGAGATTGTTATGATGGCTTTTTATGTTTCGAGTGTGGTACTCGAGGTGATGCCCGGAAGCGAGACAATATGATTGATCGTAAGCTTATATTTGGTGTATCCCATACAAGCACGTGAACAATCAAGAGGTTTTGGATTTTTGAAGAAGATTGAAAATTGTAGATACTAGAAGTGATGATGTTAATCTAGCGGAAGTCCAAAACTTTTGCTATTGACTTGGACTGTCTAGCATTCTTGCATTGATAAGTACTCAGTATTTTTTTGTCTGCTTGTTCATTTTGGAATTCCGGCTTCAAGGGTGAGAATTGGCAAGAAGATGATGGCACATTGAACAGCGTATCACAATTGTATCCTGGCTAGACTTGTGCGCAATCGAATTGCGAGGTAGGAGCGGATCTGAATGATGTATAGGACGGAAGACTTCTATAACCTGGAATATGGTGAGATCATCTTCGAAGTTGTTCATCTATGAAGATTCTTAGTCCATTTTGAGGATTGAGCTTTCTTTGACTCACAGTTGCAATCTGTGTGTCACATGTCTTGAAAGACTAAATGTGCTCAATCTGTTTGTGTCATATATCTTGAATGATTCAGTGTTCTCAATAGAAGATCTGACCTAGGGCTCTTCCACTGCAGGTAACACTGAACTTTAGTCGGAGATTACATTACACTTGCAATGCTCTTGATTGAACTGTCAACAGAACATCGTACTCAGATTTGGTAACCTCCTGACGAGCTTCACCAGGCTTGTTATCAGAGTCAACACACCAGCTGCCTCGAGATAAGAAATTTCTTTGGTGTCACTGATCAATCACAACATGAAGGATGACACAGGATCGACTGCAGGAATTTCTTTCGTAAGAGCAAAGTATCATGAATATTCGAGATAAGTAGCAAAAAATAGCACTTTTACCTTTGAAGAGGAACACCTGAAGCATAATTGCGGTTGTCCGAACCAACCAACGAGTAGAAGCTTCCATTCACTTGTAATACGTTCTGGAAGACCACGTTGTTCATCATCGACAACAAGTCCAATTTAGAACGACTCATATCAGATAACGTCATCTTGGACAAGCATGTAATAGACAGAAGAACGAGGAAAGGTGATCTTGGATATTCCGCTTCTATCTCACCATCTTCTATTTCATGTAAATGGTCACCGAAGCCGGGTAAATCCTTTGTTGTTTTTTTTTAATCTTACTTCTGATACCAATGTTGAGTAGATATTGTAAGCCCTGTGTGTGTGTGTGTGTGTGTAGTGCTGAATACAGTAAGGTACACCATTGTTTGTTAGTAGGTTCAGTATTGAGTCACCTCGGACTTGCTTGAACTAGTGTCTTGCATTCATTGTTGAATTTTGAATTTGGAGGTGGAAATCTTCGTGTTGGAGCCTCTCCATCTTTGCTTTTGGACGACCCCAAAATCAGTCAAATTGGAGTTAGAACGAAACTTTTTGACAACAATTGAAGTGGTAAACTGGCCCTTCGTACCTTGGATCACCCAACCAACTTATGAGAGAAGCAATGATGAACTGTGAAATATTGGATTGCTACAAATACTGGTGTTGTTAAACTTCAGCAACAAGCAAAGGATTGTTCCAGCAGTTGGTGTCGTAGTCTAAGGTGAGAAAGCGCCTTACTATCTCTTTTTTGCATAAATTCCGTTATCCCGATTGGTTTTATCAGTTACTATATGTCACATAATCTGGTTTATTTTTAGAACTAGTTCAGTCAAGAATCTAGTTGTGATTTGATTTTCACATTTGAGTGAACTATTGTAAATTATCTTCATTTATACTTAATTTGGATATTTGTCTTTGGAACATCGTTGTTTGTTAGTAGGCTCATTCTCGTCCCGTGGATGATACAACCCATCAGTGTTGTGTTCATTTTGTCCAGGGTTTCAAGCAATCCTTACAGCTTAGCCCTTTGCGTCCCCTTGTATACTTCCCTTCGCCCTCTCGCAGCAAAACCCTCGCTGCAGTGTGCTGTCTTCTCGCTTCGAATTGCTCAAATTAGCGCTTAAATACATGACATCGTGACATCATTGTATCGCATGCAAACAACGTGAAAGATTACGAGGTTGGCATATCATATCTATAATAAAATATCAAGAATTAGTATTATTAGATAATTATTGAAAGATGGATGGTGTGTTGAGAGAATGATCTAGTTTAAAGTTTATCAAAGATATGAATTAATTTTATTTGTATGAAACATGTATAATAGTTTACATATTTTGTTAAAATATATGTTGTCAATATGTGAAGGTTTTGTGGCAATCAAAGGACATTTCAAAAATCTATGGTTGTATGAGTAAGCAAAGGAGTATACTCTAGAATCCATAACCAATTTTATAATGGAGTATGAATATCATTGATAATTATTTTGTGTAGATTATGAGATGATTGTTTATGTATTTTTTTCTATATATATATATATATATATATATATATATATATATGTGAGAATATTTTTTATATAGAAAATAATAAGAGGTAATAAAAAGTTATAAAAAAGAATCACAAATGTAATTAGAGATTTATTTAGTCTATATGAAGTTTATTAGTACCATCTTTGTTACATTGAATTTTTTGGTGATTAAAATTTATTCAAATATTGTAAATTATGTATTAAGGTATTATTCATGTATTTGAAGGTGAATTATATATGTTTTCCAAATATTTGCAGTGGCCTATTTTGTAAAGATGGTTATCAAGCATGTCTTGGTAATGTAGAGGTTTTTATTTGGTTGTTGTACATTGGGATTTGCACTTGCTATGGAATTTCGTAACAAGTTTGTGGAGGATATTGGAGTTGTACTCAAAGCAAGAGAAGTTGATATTGGAGATGTGTTTACTCAATGCTATGATTACAATCAAGAAATAGGGGTGTTATTGAAAACTAAAGTTGTATTGAATAAAAAACAATGTGCAAATATTTGCCAACTACTTGGTCGTATTATCAAAGTATTTGAAGTCTTGAGAGCTTGTTGCGATGGAAGAAGTGAATATAAAATTCTATTTCTCGAATTTCAATATATAACATTGAGGATATACAAGTTGATAAAAGCTTGTGCACAAGAACAATGGTGTGAAGCAAGTATCTTTCAAATGGAAAACAAAGAAATGTTTAGAGAGTTATTATGGGACTTGAAGACTTCTTATGATGTGAGAATTGATCTATTATCAAAGAAGTGTCCAAAAAAGATGGAAGACATTATACTTGTATTGTTTGATGTTTCAACTTGTGAAGAAGTTAAACATGATGGTGAAGAACTTTTCAAAAGATTGGACCATAAAAGTAAAGATATTCGATTTAAAGATTGTGAATTAGCAAACTATCTATCAAAAAGATTGATGAATTTGTAGTATATAGATGGTGGAAAGATGGATTTTTTGGAAGTATCAATTGATAATAAAAGTTTAAAACTTGGAAGAATTATAAATGAAGGTGCATTTGAAAAAGTTTATAAATCAAAGTGGTTTGGACTTGCAACTGCAACAAAAATAATGGATGCTAGTTGGAATGATATGTTCATAAAAGAAGTGGATATCTTGGCAAGCACAAGCCATCCAAACTTCATAAAATATTATTATGCTACCAAAAGTGATGCAAATGAGAATGGACACTCTTCAACAATGAATAATTCAAGGATAAAAGTATACGTGGTGATGGAATTAATGCAAACAAGTTTATACAACATATTGGAGGCAAAAAGAGCAATGCCATACTACTTTTTTATTGATGTTATTTATCAAATTGCAAGGAGAATGTGTTATTTACATGACATGCAAATTATACATGGAGATTTAAAGTCGGATAGTATATTACTTAATGTTATAGATGATGGTAAATCTAGTCATGGTTTTCATTATGCTGTTGTGAAGTTGATTGATTTTGGTTGTTCAAAGATTAATGTGAGTAGGAATCCAAAAATTAAAGAAAATAAATATATATATGGAATTTTAAGATACATAGCTCAAGAGATATTAAAAAGTACAATGGAATCAACAAAGATGTGTGCTTTTGAAGCTGATGTGTATTCTTTTGCAATGACATATTTTAAGATTCTTTCAGGTGAAGATCCATTTAATGGTATCAACTCTTAGAAAGAATTATTGAAATAGATTGAAAAAGATGAATGACTAAAGTTACCTTCAAATTGTGATGATTTGGATAAATTGATTGAAGAATGTTGGACTTTGAATCCTTCTAGAAGACCTAGTTTTGGGGACATTTACAAGAGACTCATAACATTGAAAAAAAAATTCTTGGTGGAAATTGATGTAGTCAAAACACCTCATTTTGGAGCATTTAAGAAAGAAGATCATGAAAAGAGTAAATTAATAGATATTCATATTGGTGATACATTGATAAGTTTTATATTTGAGATGTCATGTGATATGAACCTTATATTGGTGTGTTTGATTTTAAGATCTATATATTTAAATATGTGATATTTAAAGAAGTTATTTTGTCAAAATATGTATATGTGGTTAGATTATTTTTTTAGAGACTATGGCATGAATTTTATATTTTGTTAACATCTTGATTTTATTATTTGCATAGATACATGATTGTAAAGATAATATTGTAGGTATAGAACAACGTTAGTCAAACATCAAACAACTATGTAAGAATAGAATAAATGCATTGTGTTTTTTTCATATGGGTGGAATTGAAAAGACCACATTAACAAAGATTACATTTGACAACATGCAACACATGTACAATGTAACATGCTTTGTTGAAGGTATTTAAAAGAAGGATAGTGGTCTTTCAACAATTTGTAAAGTTTTGAACTAACTAAACTTTGAATCAAAACTAAGGAGTTTAGAAGAAGTACAAGCTATAATGAAAGAAGTATTGATGAGCAAAAAATTCATATTGGTCTTGGATGATATGAAGGACAAGAGTTAAATTAATGATATAGTACCTATAGATATTCTATATTCTAACCAAGGTAGCATATTAATTGTGACAACTCAAAATTGGGAGGTAGTAAAAAGCTACCCTCTAAAGATTCATAAATTTGATACTGAAGAACTTGACAAAGATGCAAGTTTCAAGTTGTTTACAGCTTATTCTTATAGGGATGGTGATGAATTACCTAAAGAACTTATTGAAATTAGCAAAGAGTTTTTAAGATCTTGTAATGGACTATCTTTGAGTTTGAAAATTTTGGGATCATTTTTAGGAGGAAAAAAGAGGTTGAAATGTTGGGAAAGAGCTTTACAAAAGTTAAGAAGAGGAAGACCTTTGAATGGAGATGAAATAGATAGTGAATATAAGCTATGGACTATTTTGAAGATAAGCTTTGATGCCATGAAAGTTGAAGAAAAGAACATGTTTTTGGACATATATTGCTTCTTTTGTAACAATGTGAAATGGGATGGTACAATGAAAGAGATCATAATACAAATATGGACCAATAAGAAAAGTGGAGATGAAGAGCAAGATGCAAGTATTATTTTGGACATGTTGGTTCCTCAATAAATGATAAAAATAGAAAAATATGATATTATAAAAATGCATGATCAATTACAAGATATGGGAAGAAAGATTGTTGAAGAAGAAAAAGAATACAAAGACACACGAATTTGGAATGCAAATATGGTACCAATGCATGGAATAACAACAAAGGTATGACTTTCAAATAGTGGTAGAATAACTTAAATGCAATTATTGATATAAAATAAATAATTAAGGAAAATAGAGTAGAAGAAATTTGAATTTTTATTAAAAAAAATATTACAAAACTTATGTGTTGCAATATGAAATACTTAGAGATTTGTATATGGTTTAAGTACTTGATAGAGCTATGGATTGTGATTTCTAATTATTCTCTTCTCATGTTGATTATTTGTAAGGTATAATTCTTGATTATAATATGAAAGATATCTTAAGAAGATTTATTATGAAAGGATTATACCTTTGTTCTTTACAAATTCTTATATGTAACATCAATGCAAAGAAAAGTAAAGATGTCTTTGAAATACTTATAATTATTGGTAGAAAATGCAAACAAGTTAAAATTTTTGTTACTAAGAAGAAATCATTATCGTATATCTTATGGATTTCATAGCAGCAAAATAAAGTTGTCCTTTGCAATGTGCAATAAAGAGTTTTGGAAAGTATTTAAAGAATTGATAATATTGAGTCTAATAAGATTTACTTTTAATGAACTACTACCTAGAATATTGTATACAACTAGTATATTGATGAGACTTGATTTAGATGAATCTATTAAACTTAATGTTGTACAAAAAAGCTTTAAAAACCTTACAAATTTAACAAACATGAGATTACTTAATAAAAAAACTTTAAATATAATATCAAAATAATGGAAAAACTTAACTTCTCTAAAAACATTTTATATAAGTGCATGCTCAAGTTTGACAAGCTTGCCAAATAAAATGGCAAATCTTTTATCTTTGGAAGAACTTTATTTAAATAGTTGCTCAAGTTTGATAAACTTATCAAATAAATTGATAAATCTTTCTTATTTAAGAAGGCTTGATTTAAGATATTGTTCAAGCTTGACAAGCTTGCCAAATGAATTGGCAAATCTTTCTTCTTTAAAAAGCCTTTATTTGAATAGTTGATATGAGTAGTTGCTCAAGTTTGAAAAGCTTACCAAATGAATTGGCAAAACTTTCTTCTTTGAAAGAACTTATTTTGAGTGGTTGCTCAAGCTTGACAAGTTTTATAAATGAATTTCTAAATCTTTCTTCTTTAGAAGAACTTATTTTGAGTAGTTATATAAGCTTGACAAGCTTGCTAAATAAATTAACAAATCTTTCTTTTTTGGAAGAACTTATTTTGATTAGTTATATAAGCTTGACAAGCTTGCTAAATAAATTAACAAATCTTTCTTTTTTGGAAGAACTTGTTTTGAGTGGTAGCTCAAGCTTGATAAGTTTGCTAAATAAATTAGTAAATCACTCTTATTTAAGAAAGCTTGATTTAAGATATTGTTCAAGCTTGAAAAACTTGCCAAATAAATTAGAAAATCTTTCTAATTTGATAAGACTTAATTTGAGTAGTTGTACAAGCTTGATAAGCTTGCCAAATAAATTGGCAAATCTTTCTTCTTTGACAATACTTGATTTGAGTTATTATTCAAGTTTGACAAGCTTGCCAAATGAATTGGAAAATCTTTCTTCTTTGATAAGACTTTAATTGAGTGATTGCTCAAGCTTGACAAGCTTATCTTATAAGTTGGCAAATCTTTCTTTTTTGACAACACTTAATTTGAGTAGTTACTCAAGCTTGATAGGCTTATAAAATGACTTGGCAAATCTTTCTTCTTTGGAAGAACTTGATTTGAATGGTTGTTCAAGCTTGACAAGCTTGTCAAATGACTTAACAAAACTTTCTTCATTGAGTGGACTTAATTTGAGTGGTTGTTCAAGCTTGACAAATATTTCTTCATTGAGTAGATTTAATATGAGTGCTTGCTCAAGCTTGGCAATCTTATCAAATGAATTAGCAAATCTTTCTTCATTGAGTAGATTTAATTTGAGTAGTTGCTCAAGGTTGACAAGCTTACCAAATAAATTAGCAAATCTTTTTTCTTTGACATCACTTTATTTGAGTAGTTGCTCATGCTTGACTAGCTTGCTAAATGGATTGGCAAATCTTTCTTCTTTGAAAGAACTTATTTTGAGTGGTTTCTCAAACTTGATAAGCTTATCAAATGAATTAGCAAATCTTTCTTCTTTGACATCACTTTATTTAAGTAGTTATTTGTAGAATAAGTAAATAAACTTTGTGGTAAGTTACTAGTTGGTTATTGATAATCTTGAGAATTACACTAATGGTTAGGCAGTTTAGTTGGTAACAATAGGTTGTTAGTGAAATAAATGGTTAAGAATTCAAAGGGTCATAACCTTTAGAATCCGTTGGCCAATGGATCATCTTTTTGGTAGGATAAATAGGTTGAGAAAAGAAAGATCAAGACTAGACTAAGAGAGTCGTAAGCCGGGGCAAGCTTAATGCTACCTCTTTTTTTTTTTTTGACGAATAATAGATAGTTTCTGAATACTGAGAAGTTAGTCTAGAGTGCCAGACTATAAGAGTCATAATTCTGTGTGATGAATTGAGAAATTGAATACAATAGGTAAATTGGAGATCAGTAATTGAATATATTTAAACCACAAAGAGAGTAAGTGGGAGATGAACAGATAAGAATATAAAAGTATTGTTGAATTGATAGTCGTAGAATGCATTATGGATTGAATTAAGAGGGAAGTAGTAAGCCTTAGTATTTTGTAGTTGATAATTGATTTCAAATAGCCAGAGTATAGTCAATTGTGATACTAACAGACCCAATTCATATAACCAATCTTTTCTCGTGTTCGAATCCACCTCTATTAGTTCAATTGCTTTGGTATATTGAAGCTTGAACACAATGAGAACAACATTTTTCATGCTTGAAAAGCTTGCTAAATAAATTAACAAATCTTTCTTCATTGAGTGGACTTAATTTGAGTGGTTGCTTAAGCTTGACAAGCTTACCAAATGAATTATTAAAACTTTATTGTTTAAAATTTTTTTATCTAAGTGGTTGCTCAAACTTGACAAATTTGGCAAATAAATTAGAAAATCTTACTTCTTTGACAATACTTGATTTGAGTGGTTACTCTAGCTTGATAAGCTTGCCAAATAAAATGACAAATCTTCTTTGTTTGAAAAAACTTTATTTGAGTGGTTGCTCAAGCTTGATAAGTTTGCCAAATGAATTAGTAAATCTTTCTTCTTTGACAATATTTGATTTGAGTGGTTGCTCTAGCTTGGCAAGCTTATCAAATGAATTAGCAAATCTTTCTTCTTTTAAAGAACTTATTTTGAGTGGTTGATTAAGCTTGACAAGTTTGTCAAATGAACTCCAAATCTTTCTTCTTTGGAAGAACTTGATTTGAGTGCTTACATAAGCTTGAAAAGCTTACCAAATGTATTGGTAAATCTTTTTTATTTGAAAAAACTTTATCTAAGTGGTTGCACAAGCTTGACAGGCTTGTTGAATGAATTAGCAAATCTTTCTTCTTTGACAATACTTAATGTGAGTGGTATTGAAGAAAAGAAGTCTAAAAGCTACAAATACTTAGCATCAGCAAGGATTGTAGTCTAAGAGAAGTGTGGAGAAAGATAATTCTTACTTCCAATACTCTTTACTTATAGGTGGTGGTTTGCTCACTAACAAGGCAACTTCCATCCTTTTGATAATACATCCATTTCTACCTCATCCAATTAAATTCTTGGTGCCACCACAATAACTTAATTTAACTCTTTGCTACCTTTTTATTAATAGCAACATACTTTGCTTAATCTCTATGTGGTTGTAACTAAGCAAGTACTTGGTGATCTTCAATACTCCCACTTTGCTAATATTCAAAAGGCTTTTAATCCTAATCTCTGAATCAAGTCATGATGTCTATCCTTCACTAATGCGTTTGTAAGTATATCAGCAAGCATGTCATTTATGGCACAATATTTCATACTTATTATTCCATCTTCAATCTTCTCTCGTATGAAATGATGTTGAACATCAATGTACTTGGTCCTTGAGTGGTATTTTGGATTCCTGGCAAATACAAGACATCCTTGATTGTCACACATAATTAGAGTTGCTTCTAATTATACTTGATCAATGTCTTCTAAGAATTGTCTTATCCAACATGCTTCCATTGCATAATGACTTGCTGCCATGTACTCTACCTCCATCATTGATCTTGCAATGATAGGTTGTTTCTTGCAATTCCATGAAATGGCTCCTACTTCAATGAAAAATACATATCCTATTATGGATCTTCTATCATTTGTATCTCCAATCCAATCCGCATCACGATAACCTTGCAAGTCAATGTTCTTACCACCAACGCATAATTTGAAGTCTTTTGTACCTTTTAAATACCTCAATATCCTCTTTACCATTTTTCAATGCATTGGTCCAGCCTTAGACATGTGTTGGCTTACAAGACTTCATAGCATCACATAAAGACAATGGATCAGCAAGAAGAGTAATATTTGCATATTCTTCACTTACTTGAGGGAAGATATGATCCTTCTTCCATTCGCCACGTTGCCTTCTTTCTTTCAAAGGATATCTCCTTTCACTTGTAGAAGAACATTCACCTTGTTCTACTCTTTGTTCTTTTTCAACCTTCTTCTCTCTGAAACATTATCGTTTCTCACTCAATGGTTGGTATTCTTCATCATTATCATCATCCCAATCTTCAACATCTTCATTTCTTTCATTATTGGTCCAATCAATTATAGGAGCTTTCATCTTTTCAACTTTCTTTGGCTTTTCATCTTCATCATCTTCATTGTCTTCATCTTCTTGTTTCTTTGTTGAATTCAAAGATGTATCCACAAACACACCATTACTATCACTTGGACACATCTCTAAGTACTCACAAGCATTCTTATGCTCCAAAAACTCAACATCACGACTTTTGGTTTCTAAGCACATTAGCCTATATGCCTTAGTACCTTCACAATAACCAAGAAATACACACTTTGTATCTTTTGCATCAAGTTTGAACCTCATACAATCTGATGTTTTTGCATATGCAATGCAATCTAAGGTCCTCATATGAGAAATGCAAGGTTGTCTCCCACTCCAAGCTTCTTGTGGTGTCATTGATGCAAGAGCACTTGTTGGACACACGTTTCTAATATACCCTGCATTCACCACAACTTCTACCCAAAACTCATAGCCAAGGTTTTGAACATGAAGCATGCTCCTTGCCATCTCTACAATGGTTCAATTTATCCTTTCAGCAATACCATTTTGTTGTGGAGTGTATGGAGTTGTGGTTTGTCTAGCAATTCCTTCATTCTTCAAATAAACATCAAATTGCTTAGACATGTACTCACCTCCATTATCCGTACATAGCAGAAGCATGGTGGGTCCATAATCTATTGAAGAACAGAAGTCTAAAAGCTATAAACACTTAGTATCAGCAAGGATTGTAGTCTAAGAGAAGTGTGGAGAAAGATAATTCTTACTTCCAACACTCTTTACTTATAGGTGGTGGTTTGCTCACCAATAAGGTAACTTCCATCCTTTTGATAATACATCCATTTTTACTTCATCCAACTAAATTCTTGATGCTACCACAATAATTTACTTTAATTCTTTGCTACCTTTTTACTAATAGCAACATACTTTGCTTAATCTCTATGTGATTGTAACTAAGCAAGTACTTGCTGATCTTCAATAGTTTGTCTTGTATGCATCCTTCACATGCAAATTGTTTTATATTTTGGCTCGTATTGCCAAGATCTAAGCCACTTACCATGGTCTTGAGCTCTCTCATGCTCTTCACATTCAAATGGCCAAGGCGACGATGCTATATATTCAACTTATCTTAGTTTGATGTAAACTCAGCAAATACGGCTACCTCCACTCAATTCACCTTTTTACAAATGAGGTAGTACAAATTTCTTTTTTTCAAGCCTTTAAAGACCTTGTCTCCACTCAATGTTCTTACAAAATATCCATTCATGTCAAATTGAACTTTAAAACCTTTCATTACAAGTTTATTCAGGGAAAGTAGGTTTTGCTTCATCTTAGGCACATGAAGGACGTTTTTGAGTCTGATCCTATTGGTTTTTCCATTCACAACCACCTCCACCATAAAAGAGCCAATTCCAATGGCTTCACATGTACCACTATCTGCCAACACCACATTTGATGCTGGAATAGCCTCATAAGTGTCAAATGAATACTTATAAGGTGTCATATGCTTGGAACAACCTGAATCCACAATCCATCTTGACATGGCAGCCATAGAGGTCCCATTTGTTGTCTTGAATGCATAATCTTGTCTTCCAAACTTATCTTGCACACTATTTGCATTTTCCTTCTTTATCTTTTTGCCTTTGTAGCAATTTCGAACAAAATGGCCTACTTTGCGACAAATGAAGTAAGATTTGGCATTACCTCATTTCTTTGAATAGTTGTCCTTGCCTTGACGTAAGTAGAGTGTTGAATCTTCACTTTGACGCTCCTTTTCTTTTTTCTTGGTTACTTCATGGGTAAGTCTTGCCGCCACATAATCCATTGTAAGCTCTTTTATCTTAATAGACTCCAATACCACAATAAGATAGTTGTAGGATTCAAGAAGGCTCATTAGCAAGGTCATGACAATATCACTTTCTTCTAAAGGCTTGTCAACAATTGCTAGTTGGTTTGTAAGACCCTTTACCTTATTGACATGAGCCATGAGGTCTTCACCTTCTTTCATCTTGCAAGTAAAGAACTTCCTCCTTGTATAGATGATGTTGGATAAATTTTTGCTCTTATAGATATTGTAAAGAGTCTTCCATGCTTCCGCTAGTCCTTTACAAGAGATAATGTGGGAGAAGTTGGCTTCATCCACATTAGTTGCAATCAATCCAAAAGCCTTCTTTTCACGACGTTTGAATTCCTTCTTCTCCTTCATATCAGCATCTTTGCTTGGCGCCTCTTCAATTTCATCTATAATATCTCAAAGATCTAAAGATGCCAACAAAAGCTCCATTTTTACCTTCCAATGGTAGAAATTGTTACCTCTAAACTTTTCAATAACTTTCAATCCTTCATCTTCACTTGAAGCCATGTCTAAGGAAGAGTTGTATCAAAAATGATTGTACAAAGTAGTCCTAATCCTCTCAAAAATCAGCAAGAAGATTTTGCTGCCTTAGAATCCCAAAATCCTTGTTTGTAAATAAAGTAGTATTTTAACTCTCAAAAAACACTCTCAACTTCACTTCTAAGACTTGTCACAAGTCTGATGACTTATCTAAGTGTCTCAAATCTGATTTGCCACTCTAAAATCTGTCTTATGCTCACAAATCACCTCTATACACCATAAGAGGCCTTTTAAGCACAATCAATAATTTTAAGACATGAAATCGTAAAGTTAGACTACCAAGGATCTATCTCACTAAAAGTACAATGCAAACTTTGTCTATAGGTGAAAAACAAGACACTAACACCAAAATGCTCTTAACCACAAGTAGGAACAAACCATGATCTAGATCTAGATCTGAATCTGAAAGTTAGGTTCTTCCAAAGCCTAACATCGGCAACAACAACTTGATCTACTCAACACTTACAAAACTACTTCAAAAAAATTCAAAAAAAGACTCAAGCAAATGTGAGTGGACCCATAACCTATTGAAGAAAAGAAGTCTAAAAGCTACAAACACTTAGCATCAGCAAGGATTGTAGTCTAAGAGAAGTATGGAGAAAGATAATTCTTAATTCCAACACTGTTTACTTATAGGTGGTGGTTTGCTCACCAACGAAGCAACTTCCATCCTTTTGATAATATATCCATTTCTACCTCATCCAACTAAATTCTTGGTGCCACCACAATAACTTACTTTAATTCTTTGCTACTTTTTTACTATTAGCAACATACTATGCTTAATCTCTATGTGATTGTAACTAAACAAGTACTTGCTGATCTTCAACAAGTGGTTGCACTAGCTTGACAAGCTTGCCAAATAAAATGGCAAATCTTCTTTCTTTGGAAAAACTTTATCTGAGTAGTTGCTCAAGCTTGATAAGTTTGCCAAATGAATTAGCAAATCTTTCTTCTTTGACATCACTTTATTTGAATACTTGCTCAAGTTAAACAAGCTTGCCAAATGAATGAGCAAAACTTTCTTCTTTAGAAGAACTTGTTTTGAGTGATTGCTCAAGTTTGATAAGCTTATCAAATGAATTAGCAAATCATTCTTCTTTGACATC